GCAGGGAGCTCAATGTGGGACTCGATCCCGGGACTCCAGGATCATGACCTGAGTCGAAGGCAGTTGCTTAACCAACTGAGCCACCCAGGCGCCCTCAACTTGTAAATTTCTAAAGAACTTTTCTGGAGCTGCTTATTTGAAAATTACTGATCTGAAGTCTTAATTTAAAATTCTCAAATTAGTCCTGTTTACCTGTTCTAATCAGTGCTCTCCTTTCCTACATTCCACTAAGCTTTATAGATCTTGCAAGGAGTTTCATCAAGTGTAGCTAGGTGTTCTGATGGGAACAGAGATAATTTCTAATGAAAGTGTTTCTCTAAATGCTGGCGATAAACAGGGTGTGATGAAGTGCAGGGAGAAAAGGATAAATAATGTATCATCTCACCTTATCACGGCACAGAGATTCAATGAGAGCATCAGCCTCCTCCATCCTCCCATACATTACTAATGCTATGCCAACTGCAAGACCACGCAGAATCTTCTCATGTTGAGTTTCCTGTGCATAGCCGACCATGTCCTCAATAGCCTGCGCATTTTTAGAGCCCAACATAACCAAACCTAGGGCCAGGCCAGCTGCTTCACCTAGTGAGTAAAAAGTAAAACATTAAAAAATAATAATTATGTATGAAAATCAATAAAACATATCTTATCGGAAGTGGCACTGATTATCATCAACTATCAAAACAACAATTAGCTTCTGGTGGCATTTTTTCAAACCATCTAATAAAAAGCACAACCATATATTTATAGCTATTTTCCTTTTAAATCTTGACAGAATGCATCATCGAATCCTACAATGATTTCAAAGGAGACATAATGACATCATTCTACACTATCACCAAGCAGTACAGATAGCTCTGAGATTCAAATAGGTCACTTTAATAAATTTCTATTTGCAAAAGTCAGTTATATAGACAGATATACAGGATATATCATTTTTAAAACCTATATATAACAAAACCTATTTCTATGAATTTGACAAATAGGGCGAAATCCACTCCCCTCTATAAGTAATCTATTAGATTTTTAAGGGGCTACAAAATATAAATAGAAAATAAATATTAGTTACATTAGTTAATCCTAAAGTTTGTTGTCTCTGGAAAGAATCTCTCACCTGTCACAGCATCATCCTGATAAAGGTTTGTTTTTAGCAAATCATACACATCCTGGCGCGCAGTCCCCATGGCAGCCAAACCAAGGCCCAGACTGCCACCATGTCGAACAATCTAGGGAAAAAGCATGGGATCTGCTGATTTGGAACACTGTACTTAAAAGTCCAAGTTTTTATTCTGATTTAAAAATACATTGTGATATTAAATATGCAGAGCAATTGACCTAGTGAGAATGATCAAAGTATTTGAGAACCAGACAGCCAGTGGTAACCTCAGCAATTTCAGTTTCAAAAGAATGGTGCTTGCTGATGCAAAATAATAGCAAGTTGAGAAGTGAATGAAAGACAAGAAAACGGAGGGAGAGGGTACAGCTCTCTTTCAATAAGTTTACATGAGAAGCGGAGAAAACAGTAACTAAGAGGAAGAAGCAAGGGTCAAAGAAAGATTTTTTTTAGGATAGGTGAGACCTGAATATGCTTATGGGATGAGGGGAAGGAGCCTGAAGAGAGGAGAAAAGGGTATCTAATAGAACATGGTTGTAAAGAAGTGGGGGAAAAATGGGGTCAAGGGCCAAAGTTGGTCTTTATTTCAAGAGGGACACTTTAGTAGTCATGTGTCATTTTTGAGTGCAGTCTCCTTTTATAGGTGACAGCATCCCAATCTTGCTTGGAAAATACTCCTCTCCCATTGGCTAGTCTTGGTGAGACTGCCATTTAATAAGCACCCACCTTCCCCTACCCAAAGTGGACTGTGACCCAAAACAGACCACTTGGATGCTCTTTCTCTGAAATTATAATCTTTTTACAGTGAAATGACCCAAAACCATTTCAAGTTCATTCATCCTGACAGTAGGGCCTAGAGAGACAATTCCATTAGTTCCTGTTATCTAGATCCCTAGAACTGCCCTGGCTCTTAACTTTTGCGAGAATTGGTTTATCCGCTTTTCCTTTAATTATATAAGCTACTTCCAATAAACTCTTTAAGTCGATCAGTGGAAGTTTCTATTGCTGGCAACCAAAGACCTTTGTTTGATAAGAAAATTTTTACCCGAGACCAGAGGAAATGAGGCAAAGATATAAATACATACATATAAGTACATAATATTTGTGGATGAGGAGCTCATTAGCTAAGCCAGATGATCCCACTGGCCTCAATCTTTTCACTGAAATAGAAGGACAAAGTTGTCTGGCTTACTTAGCTACTCTCCTAATAGCCTTCTAAAAAAGAGTCTAACATAAAAGCTAAAGTCTAAAATCCTATTTCAAGGTTCCATAAAGTAAGAGCAATCTGCTTAAGTTTTTCCAAAAGAATTACATTTAAAAATTATAAAATAGCAAATAACCAAGAATTCTGGTTCCTTAGAGTTATGCATTTCTTTGGGACTTAGTTTCCTATAAAATAACAAAATTAGACTAAATGATCACTAAGGTCACTTATAGTTATAACATTTCAAGACTCTTAAGTGTGGAAATACAATACATATTTTACAAATATATGGTACTTTATTTTGCTTGTCACATACAAGGTTTAAAGGACTGAGAAGCACAATTTTAGTTTATAGAGAAGGAAAGAAAATTATCTTAAAAAATAATTCTTTAAGAATAGTTCTATTTTTGGAATTTCAAAATCCTACAAAATTTCTATTCATTAAAATAATTTGGCAAATATAGTGTTTTCCTGGACTCTTAAGTAACAGAAATTAGTTTTTCATTCAAATACTTACATCATTGCTGGCATTCTTAAGCTGGTTAAGCAGATAGTCAATTATATCTCCACCATGATTGGCATGAATGAGACCTAAGGCATAGAGACCTCCACCTTCCTGATAGGCTGATCCAGGAGAGGTGTCCTTGGGAAGATATGTTGCCATTAACTGTAAAGCTTCCTTCTCATGACCCTGTAAATTTGAACCACAACAGAGGTGTAAGAGAAAGTGAGAGAAAAAATATATATTTCCTATGACTACTGTCTTCTCTCCAGAAAATTCACTTTCTAAAAGAGGAGGAAGTGGATCTCTTCTCTCCCCTAGACAACTTTGTAACTCAAATGAGAGGAGAATTTTAAAAGATCCAATCACATCCTTGTTAGAAACAAATGCTTCAATTTTTCCCATTTTATAACATTTCTCCAAATTCATCTTAGACTATGCAAATAACTTATTTCAATTCATCCTTTGAGAAATGTCTTAGTCTTCATAGGAAAAGGATTTCCACCTTTTATTAAAACCAAAGACATAGGTATTTTAGTTTCTTATTTACTTTATTCTTTCCTATAAGAGGACTGATCCGATTTAACAAAATGTACTTGTGAAAGAATTACAGTAAACTCTTTATCTTTTTAACTCCAAAAAAATTGCTTCTGTTCATACTGATCAGTATATATTACCTTATGAATTACACCCAGACTGGCTGTAGCTGTAAATTTTGCCCAGTTAGTGGCCCTGGCCAACCATTCCAAGTTATCTCTGTAAGAAAAGAAAATTCAGCAATACTACTGAAATGAATTCCATAAAGCTTTTTATAACACTAAAGTCAAAGCATTAAAATTTTACCTTCAACTATTACAAATCATTTTACTTTATGGAGCTCAAGTTACTGCTGATTCTAGTTTACCTCCTAAGTTCTTAGTCTTCTGAAGACTTTAAAAAAATGCATGATATGTAATTTCATTATGAACAAAAGCAGAATTATATTAATATATTTCATGCAAAAGCATATATTCAAGCCAACTAATAAAGGGAATTAATTTTACCTTAAAACAAGCAGACATATGCAATAAAAAATGTATAGCGGCACTGGGTGGCTCAGTCAGTTGAGTGTATGACTCTTGATTTCAGCTCAGGTCATGACCTCAGGGTTGTGGGATTGAGCCCCGAGTTGGGCTCTCTGCTCAGCAGGGAGTCTGTTTGGGATTCCCTCTCTCTCCCCCCTCTTGTGCACGCATGCGCGTGCGCTCTAAAATAATAAGTAAATGCATCTTTGGAAAAAAGGTGTATAAAATAACAAAAACAGAATTTAAAATTCAGGACAAGCAGGCAAAGGAAGCTCTCAACATCCATGTAACAATGTCAACAGAGTCCCTATTAAAGATGATTTTAAACCAAAGTGGAAACCTTGTTCAAGTATATTTACCTAAGAAACTGGTCACTGGTAGTCCCACAGTGCATAAAAGAGTTTGCTATAACGGTTGCTGTATGACATACAGAATTCCGTACTGCATCCTACAAAAACAAATAATTTTTATCATGACAAAGTATTTACACATATGCAAAGTTGTATATAGACATACAATCAGAGGCCCTGTTTTGCAAAGAAAATATTAATAAACTGAACTGATGATATTTAAACCATGAATCTTGGGTATTTCTTTATAAAGATTAAATAGGTAGTTTATAAAAACAATCAAATCAGAGTCTTATCTGTGGTCTTGAGATCAGTAGATTTTAGGCAGAAGTTCAGGTAGTAGATTTTCTATTTTTGAATAGTTTAATTTGCCATTTCTCTTCAGTGTTTTGTCTACGGTCTCTAAGGTATTAGGGTAACCTGAAGAACAGAGTCCCGCCTCTTCTCGCTCTGCACCTCTGGCAGTCACCAAAGTGATTTTAATTTTAATGAAACTATATTATAAAAATTAGCTTCAAATAATTGTTATAAATACACATTGTGTAATTCTGTGTCCATCTGCCATTTGTAATTATTAGAAGTTTGACAAGTACGATTACATGTTTCAGTCAATCAATGATGTAGTAATGAAATAATACATAGCTATAAAAGAATAAATGACTGTCAAAGGGTACTGGGTAGTTAAGGCAGGAAAATGAAGATTTTTTATACTATGAATCTTTTCATATTAAAACATTTTTTGAACCAGATAAATATATTACTTGGTCAGAGATTAAAATTAATACTAGTAATTGTTAGGATCAATATCTCAGCAAAGGTTATACAGTATCAATGTAAGAACCTCTGCACTCAAGGAATTTGTAGTTCAATGGGAAAAAAGACATATAAACTATATTAATGTTCTGATCATGCCATTTGTCCAAGCACTACATATATATATATATATTAAAATAAAAAGGTAACTAAAAAAATGAAAATAAAATAAAACACCACTAAACATCCCGATGAAGGTGAACACAAAAACAGGAGCTCAATCAATATTAATTCCCTTTCTTCTCAACAAGTTCCTCCTTTGTTATTTTTTTTAAAAGTTATTTTCTTGATCAAAATAAAATGCAACAAAGTATTCAATAAGAAATAAGTATTTGTATTAATATTCAACAAAGAAATAAATACAAAAAGAAAGCCTCCCTTATAGATGACTTTCCTACCTTTGTGTTTTTTAGAATCATGAGATCTGTGTTATTGTTTCGTATTAAAAACTGTAGATGTAACTCAATAGCCATTTCACCACTTAAAATTTTAATCATTTTCAAAGTCTGGTCCTTGGGCTCTGGACTCTGCCAAAATAAATAAACAAGAATGAAAATTCATATATTACTGAAATCCACTAAGCCAACTGTATTTTAACAGCCCTAGACCAGTGAAATTCAGTCCATACACAAAGCAAAACTTGTATTTTAATAGTAGGATCTAGAAAACTCATGTATCATTTATTTGAGAGAAAGAATGATTTATTTCTTTAATAGCTACCACTGAGATATGATACCAGTTTAATGGAAGAATGCAATTCATTCTGAATAAGCTTCTAATGTAAAATATTTTAATATTAAAAAAAAAACCCAAAATATAAAATAACTGATTACTGATGATATGCAAGGAAAACTCTTTTATACAGAACCAACTCATAGTTAAGATGAGAAACTCCCTACTCGGAACTAGAAAATCAAAAGCACATTTAATCAACACATATATATGATCTCATGAACTAACAAGCCATCCAAGTAAAGAACAGTTGAAGTTTATAGACCTGAGTATCAAAAATCAAAAGTCTTGCAGGAGGAAACACTTATATCCAACAGACTACTGTTCTAATACTTACCCCAGTCTTCCATTCACCATGAATATTAAAAACAACAAACTAAAGTGCCCCCCCCATGATAAGTTGCCGTTTTATTTGTTAGAGGCCATACTTTTTTCTCACCCTGTGACAAGTAATTCAGTTATTCTAGATAGAGTTCAATCTTTTGTAAGCATCTAAAGATTTGATTTCTTCTAAGTTAAATGCTTTCTAGGGTCAATCCTTAAAATTTTACTTTTTTACAGAAGATCTATTTTTATAAAATGACTCTGGTATTAAACCTCTATAAAGGCAAATATATAACACTATAAATTAACTTACAATATACTGTGGGAATATATGTTAAATGATAACCTCAACTTCAAAAAACACACTTACCACTTCCGGCGTCTTTCCTACAAGTACACTACCTGTCTTTTCTTCTGTTTCCATTGACTCACTGAAATGAAGAGAATCAACAGTTACTAATCTGATAAATCTTTTCTGAATAGTACGTATGGGTGACTTGTTATCAAAATGAAGGTCTGAATCATGTTCAAATTAAAGATTTTGCAAGGAAAAAATATTTAATTACTTAAGTATCTCCCTTAAGAAACACACAAGATTCTATTAAGATGGAGGCAGCCCACTGATTTAATTTCTTCTAAATAAATTCATAAAACCACACAAAGCAACTAACCAGGTTAGCATGGACAACAAATACAACAAAACCAGTTGAGAAAGCAGCCCCCAAACTCCCAAAACACAGTCAGGTAGAGATACACCGTCACCAGCTACACCAGTTTGAAGTGAAGCAGTTGGAGCCCCAACAGCTCTTAAAACCAACATTCCCTTCTAGTCAAAGCACTTTACTGAGGAGAAGATGCTGGCACAGAATCCAAATTAATATGGCAGAAACAAAGGAAAAAGAAAGCCCAAATAAAAGTGAGAAAGTAAACCAAGTTAGGAGGTCTCAGATCATAAGTCACCATTTTGTTTCAAACTCTATAACACAAGAGGAAGATCTAGAGAGCAGTGAAATTAGAAAAACTATCCTAAATAAGCTTCCTTGCAAAAATTTAGGAAAACTAATTTCAGTAAACATAAGCACAGACAAGGATCAAAGTAAAATTCCATATGATAATAGAAGAGAAAAATTATGGGGCGCCTGAGCGGCTTAGTCAGTTAAGCGTCCGACTCGATTTTCGGCTCAGGTCATGATCTCAGGGTTGTGAGATCGAGCCCCATGTCAGGCTCTGTGCTGAGTGTGGAGCCTGCTTAGGATTCTCTCTTTCCCTCTCCCTCTGTCCCTCCCCACCCCCACCACCCTGCTCATGTTCTCTCTCTCTAAAAAAAAAAGATTATTTCAAAAGAGGTAAAAAACATTAAGAAAATGACATAAGATAGAAAAGAATAAAACATACCAGAATTAGGAAACTCAGAAATGAAATAATCAAACTAAGGAAAAATTAGAAATGAAGAAAAATAATTTCAGAAGATTAACTCAGAGGGGCAAATAAACACAACACGAACAAAGGACAAGGAAAGAAAGAAAAATTTTAAATTAAGAAATAAACCAAATGTTATCCCCCGAGATCAGGAATGAAGGGTGTTCACTCTAAGGTCTACTGAATAACACTGGAAATCCTAGCCAATGCAGAAAAACAAACGGGGGAAAAGGCATGAAAGTTATAAAGGAAGAAGTAAAATTGTTTCTATTCAGATGATGCGATTCCTATGTAGAAAATTCTATAGAAGGATCTATAAAAAAAACTTACTAGACCTAATAAGTGATTTAAGCAAGGTTGTGGGATTCAACATTAATATAAAAAAAATCAATCGTATTTCAACATATTGGCAACAATTAGAAATTGAAATTTAACATACCACTTACAATACATCAAAAAATATACCTAGGAATGAATTTAAGAAAAAAATGTACAAAATCTCTGAACTAAAATCTATAAAATACTGCTGAGAAAAATTAAAGAAAATCTAAATAAATGAAGAACAATACTATGCTTATGGATTATAAAACCAATATTGTTAAGGGTTTCAATTTGTTCCAAATTGAAGAGATTCAACACAATCCCCATCAGAATCCTCCCAGATTTACAGAAATGCAAGAGACCCAAAACAATCTTGGCAGTGAGAGGGAGAGGAGGGGAGGAGGGAGGTCAAAACTTTAGGTCTTCCACTGACTTAATTTCAAGACTATAAACTTTAGTTAATAAAGATACTGTGGTTCTGGTATAAGGAAAGACAAATAGATAAATAGAAAAGAACAGAGAAATCTATCAACATATCACATGTCAAAGGCCCCAAGGCAATTCAATAGGGAAAGGACAGTCTTTTAAACAAATGGTAATGGAACTACTAAACATCCATGTATTTAAACAAACTCTACTCCTACTTCACACCACATACAAAGAGTTAAGCTGAGCTACACCACATACCTAAACATAAAACCTAGAACTATATAGCTTCTAGAAAAAAGTGTGGCAGAATATCTTTACAACCATGAGGCTGGCAAAGAATTTCTGATTGGGATACATAATGGAAAACTGGATTATCAAAAATAAAAACTTTCATTCATCAAAAAATACCACCAATAAAATGAAAGGATAAGCCAAAGACTGGGAGAAAATATTAACAATATATCTGACAAATTTCTTTATTAAAATTATAACAAAACATGGGCGCCTGGGTGGCTCAGTCGGTTAACATCTGCCTTAAAACATTTCCAGATTTTTGTACTTTTATTAAAACTAAATATACATTTATTTTAGGCTAATACAGTATTAGGTTTTATTTTCCTGTTTTTTCTTACATATTTAGACCACTTATTAAAAATATTTAAATGTGTCTTTGTTATGGGGCGCCTGGGTGGCTCAGTTAAGTGTCCAACTCTTCACTTCAGTTCACGTCATGACCTCAGGGTCCTTGGATTGAGCCCTACATCGGGCTCCCTGCTCAGCAGGGAGTCTGCTTCTTCCTCTGGCTTGGGCTCTTTCTCGCAGGGAGCCCGCTTCTCCCTCTGGCTTGTGCTCTCTCTCTCTCTTGCTCACTCTCTCTCTCAATAAATCTTTAAAAAAAATTGTAACAAAACATCAGTTTTACCACTAGAATGAGTAATATTAAAGAAACTGATAACATCTAATGTTGGCAAACAAACAAATGGAATGCTAACACATTTCTGCTGGGAGGGTAAACCACTGGAAAATAGTCTGGCAGATTCCTACCAAATTAAACATATATACCCTGTGACCTAGCTATTCTAATCCTATGTATTTACCCAAGAGAAATGAAAACATCTGTCCCCAAAAAGACTTGTAGAGGAATGTTCCTAATAGTCCTGTTCTGAAACAACCCAAATGTCCATCAATGTAAGAATGAATAAACAAACTAAGTATATTCATACAATGAAATGCTGCTCAATAATGAAAAAGAGTAAGTTACTGATTCACCCAAAAAACAGATACACATCACAAACATGTTGAGCGAAAGAAGCGGAAACAAAAGAATACACACTATATGATACATTTTTATGAAGTTCAAGAACTGGCAAACCTAATCTATGTTGAAAGAAATCAAACCAGTGGTTGCCTCAGGGGCAAGGGGTTGACCTCAAAGGGCAGAGAGGAAGTTTCTGGGATGATAATAGAGGTGATGGTTATATGGGTGTTTATTTGGTCAGAACTCATTGAACTGTATCATCAGGATATGTGCATTTTATAGTATTTACATTATTATTCCATTAAAAGAAAGAACTGAAGAGCTGAAAAGGACTAAAAGAAAGTGAGAAATACAGAAGAACAGAAGACAGGCAAAGAAAATCTAACTTACATATAACAATAGGCCCCCAAAAAGAAAAATAAAGGGAAGAAAACAAAAACTAAAAACTAAAATTCAAGAAAACCTTACTGAGGCACGACTATTTCTGGTGTTTTTGAGGACAAGTTAGAAGGCCAGTGAAATCTGAAAGTAGTAAGTAAGGAAGAAAGCAGCAAGAGATGAGTTGAGGGGTATGGAGAGGACAGATCATGTATAACCTTGCAGGCCATGCTCGAGACTTAGAATTTTATATGAAATGTGTTTGTAAAGTATTGGAGGCTGAGAGGGTAGGGACATTTAGGTTTCAGAAAAATAACTCTCACTGCTGTGTAAACAACTTTAAAAGGAAAAAGGTGGCATAACAGACACTTTTTTTTTTTGAGAGCAAGAGAGAGAATCTTAAGCAGGCTCCATGCCCAGTGTGGAACCCAACATGGGGCTCAATCTCACGACTCTGAGATCATGACCTGAACCGAAGTGAAGAGTTGGACACTTGAGTCACCCAGGCGCCCCATAACAAAGACACATTTAAATATTTTTAATAAGTGGTCTAAATATGTAAGAAAAACCAGGAAAATAAAAACTAATACTGTATTAGCCTAAAATAAATGTATATTTAGTTTTAATAAAAGTACAAAAAGCTGGAAATGTTTTTTACTTTCCAAATATCTAAAATCCAGCCCACCTAACCCATCTAAGATTTTTTTTTTAAAGTAGGCTCCACACTGGGTGTGGAGCCCAATGCGGGGCTTGAACTCATGACCCTGAGATCAAGACCTAAGCTGAGATCAGGAATCAGATGCTTAACCAACTAGACACCAAGGCACCCCACCCATCTGAAATTTTTAATTTACTTGGTTAGACAGCATATATGCAATTGGCCCTCCCTATCAATCACTTCCATTTCTTTCTAGAAAGGTCCCTTTCTTTGGTTTTCTTTAATGTGCCCAGCAAAGTGCAAAACAGCAGAGCAATAGCCTTAGTAAGACTTTACAACTAAGAAAGCTAATTCTGAAATTAATTCTTAGGCTATGTGATCTATGAGAATATTCCACCTATTTGCAAAATGAAATAAAGATTGTTCAATTAGTTCTGATGCAGAAAAAGATACTTATACCTGTCTTTCTCTGATCCTGGAACAGTACCCGTATTGGTGGATCCAGGCACAGAAGCAATAGGGGTGCCAACAGTTCGAAGATTCTGGATTACAGATGACAAAAACTGCTGGCTAGCACTTTCATACAAATCAAAACAAATCTGATAAGCCATCAGGAGGTTGTCTTCCTTTACCAGTTTTTCTAAGATATCACTCACAGCCTGAGGATCATCTAAGAAAATTAAGCACTGAAATGCAGATAAAGAACAATTACATAATAATTGAAAACTGTGTCTACAAAATACTTAGCGACAAACAGTTAATAATATAGGAAACCTTAAAATATAAGCACAGGCAAACTGGGGCAGATGAACTGTTCTAGCACTCCATTTCTTTCTTTAAAAAAAAAAAAAATTAATTTAAAATTTTAATTCCAGTTCTAGCACTCCATTTCTGATCCTGGCACTAGACAAAGTCTTCCTGAAAATGGCATCTGATTGTGTCTGGCAATTACTAGTACTCAATAACGGTAGGTGAGTGAATCTTGGCTTCTTCAAATCTTATCTGTATTTTATTATCAAGTGCTCCTTAATTTGAATTTTCTGCTTAACCATAAATTATAGGAGTCATTCATTCATTTAACACACATTGTATCATGCTTGGCCAGGATAAAAGGCACTAAAATGACCATTTTGACGTATTTCTCTTATCACTCTTACGATCTGTCATATGTTTTAACAAAACTATCCAATAAATTTAGGATTTTTATTTTTTAGGAATTCAATTTAAATTTTGTTTCCTTGAAGTAGCAAATAGCTAATTTCAAAATGAACACATTAATCAAAGTTACTACACATTAAGAATAGGAAATAATGAAAACAAATGACCAATAATAGGGGAATTGTTAAGTAAGGCAAAGTACATCCACTAAATGACTACCGCACAGTCAAGAAAGAGTTGGAACAAGAGTTTGTGAAGACTTAGAACATGGAAAAATGCTAAAATTGGAAGGATGTATATAACTGATACTGTTTGCCTCCAGAGAAAGGAACTTAGGAGTCAAAGGAAAGGAGTGGAAAGACTTTTTTCATTGTATACCCTTTGGTTCTTTTTAAATTTTGAATCACGAGAATGTACTATTACCTATTCAATAAAATACATATTTTAAAATGTAAAAGTTAAGTTTTGAAGGGACAAGAAATAAAACAGCTAAAAAGAAAATTGCCTCTGAGGAATAAAACTGAAATACACAGGTGAGCAGAGGACTACTGTTTTTCATATAAGTTTTAAAACACAACAATTAAAAAAAAAACTATTAAAAACTATTTAGAATATTTAGAAGCAAACAAAACTCCAAAAAGCTATATAGAGAAAAGTGAAAAGAAATAAACTAAAATGTTGACTTTGGGGGATATAAATGACTTTTCTTCCAGCCTTCTCTATGTTTCAACCTTGCTTCAAAAAGCATTTAAAAAAGGATGCATTACTCTAAATTTTAATTTTAAAAATGTGTAGAGGATGAAAATACATGGGAACACATTACAGTGAAAAAGTAAAACCTGTGATACAGTGCTATGCTCTAAGCAGAATACAAAAATTTATACAGTATGATAACTGTTAAAAAGCAAACTTACACACTTCCAGTCAATAAAATACAATGTAGCCATTAAAAAGACCTGCTAATAAATGAAAGAAAAACACCTATGCATTATCTTTGAGAAAAGACCTGGGGAAAGGGAAAGATACACTTTGCATTTTCTGGACCATCTTAATTTTTTAAAAATGTGCAAGCAAATTCACACATGAAAAGAGATAAAATATACCCAAATGTTTTGGTTCTGTTTGGGTAATAAAACCAAAGGTCATTTTTACACCTGAAATTCTTTTTAGAATGACACAACATATGTACTGTTGTTATCTCTTCTTCTACCTTTTATTTTTTTTTTTTAACCTAGTTTCCAAAATTTCTTTAAATGTTTGGAATACTTTCAAAATGTAGAAAGAATATACAGGATGCATTATAACAAAAGTTTTTTAGGTTTATAAGATTGTTTCTTACCAGTAAAAAAGAATGTAAGTGTACACCTTAATCGTCACAGGCTGTTATGAAGATCAACTGAGATACATGTATGAAACCATCAGAGTAACAATAATGTCATGTAATATAATGCACGGCCCAGCAGTGCAGCATGAAGTAGTGTGATGTGAGGTAAGATAACAATGTAATATAAGTACCTGACAAACATTGATGAAATCGGGTTTCTCCAAATTCATGTAGATTTTAACTAGAACCCTTAGTACCTTATTCCGAAACTGTTTATTCTGCATTAAAGACATGCAGAGCTTGAGGCTATAAGCTAGCATTCCTGGGACATCATTCTGAAAGAGATAATTTCAAGATACATCATTATCTATCTGCTTACTAAAGCACTGCGTTTATTTAGAAATCAAATTATTTTAATCCATGTTCTTTAGTTATTTTAAACAGCCAAAGATTTATCTGCAACTTCAACAACAGAACTTAAAAATCAACATTTTAGATAAAAATCTTAAAGAAAATTACCTATTTCCCTGTTTTCATGAAAAAATGGGTTGAAAACAATATTTAATGATCATCCTGAATCCTCACTATGTGAACACAGAATACCATAAAAGAGTGGTGCTGTTAATTATTAAAAAAAGATATATACAAATGTCCATATACCAAATGGCTATGTTCTTCATAAAACTGAAAACTGACTACTGAAGTCCTTCATCCTTCTGTCTCCAATCTTGCTAGTCCTCATGTCTTACTGCCTTGTCTATACTTGATAGACGGGAACACAGTATGATAGAACTATTTCTCCAGCTCTGAGTGACTCAAGCTTTGAGCGCTGTCACATCTAGCTGGTGTTCTTCCTGAGGAAATTTTGACTCCAGACTATGTATATCTTGCAGTTCTCCAAAGTGTATTCAATATCTGAGATACCAACCTATAAAAGTCCTTCAACATAAGTAAGCATACTGAAGACCTACGGGAGTATTTCTCAAAAAACAAGTTGTGACCCACTAGTGAAATCAACTTTATGGGACCAGCATTTCTGATGAAATACAATTTTAAAATATCAGTTACATCAGAAGTAGCGAAAGTAGGTACTGTTTCATAAAACTTAAGTAATATCCACATGCTCTGGGATGGAAACGAATGCATTTCTTACTCTGCGTTGTTCTTTTTTTGAACATTTGTCACCCATTTACTTTATATTTTTATTTGCTCAACTGCCTATTCCTCCAGTGATTATTCTACCTGGGAAGAAACTTTGTTGGTGTCATTTGCCACGACATCTCCAATGCCTAGAACGATGTCTGACATAGAGTAGACACTCAAAAAATATTTGTTGAGTCAATGAAAACAAGTATTTTATTTATTTTTTTTTAAAGATTTTATTTATTTATTTGACAAAAAGACACAGCGAGAGAGAGAACACAAGCAGGGGGAGTGGGAGAGGGAGAAGCAGGCTTCCCACCGAGCAGGGAGCCCGATGCAGGGCTCGATCCCAGGACACTGGGATCATGACCTGAGCCGAAGGCAAACGCTTAACGACTGAGCCACCCAGGCGCCCCGAAAGCAAGTATTTTAATTCTATTCTCATGAAGACAAGGAGAGGCTACAATTGCCCAGAAATGAAACTAAGTAAAACTAGGTTCAATTCTATCACATTAGGTCTCTCATTCATTTACTCATTTAAATCTTATCACTGCTGCTAAACACAGATGTTAACTACCAAATAACACAATTAATTAATTACTATAGTGGTAAACGTTATGAAAAAACATAAAGCTTGGAGAGATTAACAGAAGATTTGGACCTAGTCTTTGCAGTAGGGGTAGAGGAGGGTATGGGGCTGGGAATCGATGTATGTGTAAACAAGTGATGAGCTGAACTCTCAATCTTGAACAGCAATAAAGCAGGTAAAGAAAGGAAAGAGTATTTTTTTTTAAAGATTTTATTTATTTATTTCACATAGAGATAGCGAGAGCAGGAACACAAGCAGGGGGAGTGGGACAGGGAGAAGCAGGCTTCCCATGGAGCAGGAAGCCCATCTAGGGGCTCGATCCCAGGACGCCGGGATCATGACCTGAGCCGAAGGCAGACGCTTAACGACTGAGCCACCCAGGTGCCCCAGGAAAGAGTATTTTTGGCAGAGGCAATACTTCTGGTAAGGGGAAGGTAGCACAGTACATCTAGGAACTGAGGAGAGGCTGCAGTACAGACAGCCAGCTCATGGAGACAGATAGGTGGTGAGGCAGGCAAAGTGGGCATGAAGATCAAATGTCCATTTAACTCAGTTATGCACCTTCCTGACCACTTTCTTACACCGACTTACTACAACTGTCGTAATTATTGCAAAACACCCCCAAACCAAGAATTTAATCTGTAGTTTTAGCCATAATAAATGCATTAACATAGTTTATCAGTATAGGCTTCTTAAAAAGGGCAGGATAATTAAAACAACTTCCCCACGCAAGACTTCAAAGGAATGAATGTGGTAAGATAAAAGCAGGTATTTGATGACCACAAAACACAGCCAAGGTTCATATATAAACATGAAAATAAAACATCTGGCAAAAGAGCACCTTATCATTTCTAAATCAGGTTTTCTCTTCAGTACCCAGAGTTTTTAGTTTTAATGACTTGCCTTGCCAATTCCCCATCAATAACAATCTCTAAAATCACATCATCTACCTACCGACTCCAGTATAGTCTTCTCAAAGACATCCAGTCTTCGGGTCTCCAGAGCAATACCAATAGCCTGCTTATACTTGTGATCGTCTAGACATCGCTGGAACATTTTATTTACAATGCCTTCCAATCTCTGGTCAATTGGTTTTTTTTCTCCTTCCGGCAAATCTGCATTTTCCACACATTGTTTGGTGTAGTGATCAATGCATTTTGCTGTGAGAAAAATAAAATAACGAATCACCTTATAAATAGGGCTAAATACTAGAAAAGACAAATGCCTTCATTTTTTAATCAAAACAATTTATGGAATAACTATAGAATAATAAGCAAATTTCAAAAGTTTTAAATTCCAGAAGTTATACATTCAAATTAATACTATTCCCTTCATAACAGTTATACTGGAGAGCTTACATACTAATTCCAATGAGGCTGATGGTATTCAAAACATTTCTATCTTTGTATTATATTTTGACCAAAATTATATTACTCAACTATATTGCTTATTAGACAGAGTTGGCTACAAATAGCTACTGTTTCACTTTCAAAAACAAATACTTGCCATTACTGAGGATATTAAAAAAGACCTATTGTAAAAATTATCACATAGCAATAAATTACTAGACTTCTTCAAATTAGTGAAACTATTAGCTCATCGACAGTACAGGCCATGTCTAAATCATCCTCGTAAAATACTGATGAATAACCTGAAATGTGCCACAGGTTCTAAAGGCAATTCCAAAGATTTCCAAAAACCTTTCCAGCAACTGTAGCAAATCTGCTGAAATACTGTCGCAAAGTAAGGTGGGTGAAATCTATGCAATCCCCAGTCCCAGACCCCTACTCCCACTGCCACTGCTGCCTTAAAATTCACGCAGTGGTATATACATGCAGGATTTGGCTTTCACATTACACAATGATTTGGCTGAATGGGGCGGACAGGGCAACATACTGAAGGGGGCCAGTAGTATACTTGTTGAGAAATATTTAAGTTTGTTTATTAACTCACACTACTTTACAATCACACTTTAAACTTATTAGAAATAACCAATAAAGGGAATTTCCCTAAGCCTTCTTCCACCTTCATAAGGAAGATAAATAGCTACCGAAGTGAATGACATAAAATAGTTATACTCTCTATAACTCATTGACTTGTCACTCTCCCTTTCAAAGAGAAGAAAGGGTACATGAACAAGATTAATTAGTTGCAAACTACAGCCCTGGGAAACAAATGATTTGAATTAGCATAAAGAATTACTGGCCCACTGGATGGCTCAAGTTAAATGGATCTGTATTTTGGGGGAAACAGTCCTTTTATAAATTGGAATATATCAAATTCAGAGTTCATCCAGACAGAATTACGCAGGTTTACATATAGTTAATAAGGATAAAGTGGCAGTCACAAAGCAGACCTTAAACAATTCTGGTTGCAGAAAATCTTTACCAGGCCCTAATATGAGCTTTTTAAACCAAATGTAGTTAAGTGAGGAAACATTACACCTACCCTATCAGAAAGGAACCTCAGAATTATAACATTCGGGGCATTTTCTTAAATTGTAACCAAAGGGGAAAAAATATGCCTCCCAGGTTTCAAATGAGGTTCATGCTTTCACTTACCAGGTTTATATCATAACTATATCCCAGAATCTAGTCTCATTCCCAGCTGAAGTCTTTTTAGAACAGAGAAAAAATTTACCAGTCTTGAATTTTCTGGATGTATAATATTCATTAAGATCCTAGAAAGCCTTTCTCAAATTCTATTTTGTGTATCCCCTCAAAAATTTCACTGACGTTCAAAACAATCCATTCTTTTTTAAAGATTTTATTTATTTATTTGGGAGACAGAGCGCACACGCACGAGTGCGTGCACGGGCGAAGGGGGAGGAGAGGGAGAGGGAGAAAGATTCTCAAGCAGGCTCTGTGCTTGAACTTGATCCCGCAACCCTGAGATCAAGACCTGAGCCAAAACCAAGAGTCGGACACTCAACCAACTGCACCAGCCAGGCGCCGCCAAAATAATCCATTCTAAAAGTCCCTACAAAACTAGAAGGGTGAACCCCACTGCCACACAAAGAAAAGCAAACAGAATTGGTCTATTTATCAAAAATTGCCTTCTACAAGCTAAGATGGTACATAGCATTTAGAGAGAGGGAAGGCATCTACCACCTCATAGCCCCTTATAGACCAACAGTCCTGTTTAAAACATGATTTGGAAAATAGTAGCAATGCAAGCACTTGTACATCACTGTTGAAAAAATTATCAGTATTCATCAAAAAAAAAATTCCTGAAATAAGAGAAAAGAGGTTAAGTGTGTATTTAACTCCCCATTTCTAACTCAATATAGAGAAAGTGTTCCATGTTTCAAATGTTATGGTCTATTCTTTAAAACCACTTGTTCTTTCTATAGGATTTATAGATGAAAACTCCAATTCAGTGAGCCCCCAACAGCAGTAAGTTAATTGCAACATTTTCACAACACCATGGCAAAAACTTTAAAACCATGAATGCAGAATTCTAGTTGGAATATCAGAGACATTTGAAAGTATCCCTTTGGGGGCGCCTGGGTGGCTTAGTCGTTAAGCGTCTGCCTTCGGCTCAGGTCATGATCCCAGGGTCCTGGGATCGAGCCCCGCATCGGGCTCCCTGCTCGGTGGGAAGCCTGCTTCTCCCTCTCCCACTTCCCCTGCTTGTGTTCCCTCTCTCTCTGTGTCTCTCTCTGTCAAATAAATAAATAAAATCTTAACAAAAAAAAAAAAGTATCCCTTTGGACCACCTTGTGCAGCACTTCCCAATTTCTGAAAGAGAATACCCAAATTCTCCTCTTAAGGGTTCAGGTGAATAATGCAGACCTCTTCTAAATTAGCAATTAAAAAAAAATATATATACTGCACACCACTGAGAACAGAATGCTCATCGGAGTAATAATAACCATAACCTAAGATAACTACTTTTGTGTTGATTAGGTTGTTTCTGAATAATTTCTTAGATTCATTCTTAAAAGCTTTGCCAGATGGAAAATAATTACCTATAATAGAACACACCCTTGTGCTCTCTGTAACTATATTCCTACAGACTTGTCTGAAGGGTATGTAGTCCATTCTTTCATCTACTAGATCAGGAGTTTTCAAACATTTTTTAAAGCTACAAATCTTTGAACAAAACCTTACATAGTTATAGTTTAATTTACAAGATAGAGAGCCCAAAGTCTTGCCAGTATGCTATCCCCCACTTCAAAAATAAATGAAAAAATGATGGTTGCCAGTAGAAACAATATGGATTTTGAAGTAAGCCTGAGTTTTAAATTCTGACCCTCCTATTTAATAGTCATGTGTCTCTACCATCTCAAAACCCGAGTTTTTTTCATTCATAAAACAGGGATAGCACCTTCCTCATGGAGCAGCTGTGGAATAAACCATGCCATGTAGAATGAGTAACATAGTGCCTAGCAAAATGGAGATAGTCAATAATGGTTTCTGGTATTAGAAACAAATCTATAAATTACTGTCATTTAGTTCGTTACTCATAATAATTAATTTTTTCATAGAACAGAATGATCATTGGAGTAACAATAACCATAACCTAAGATAACTACCTTTGTGTTGATTAGGCTGTTTCTGAATAATTTCTTAGATTCATTCTTAAAATGTTTTGTGAGGTGAGTGTCTTCACTGTTACTGTTACTAATGTTACTGTTCATTATGTCAAAAAATAATAATCCCAAAACTGGAAGGCAGATCTAAAAACTCAGCCTGCATACGATTATAGGATTGTGAACTTCCAATTAAAATTAAATTCGGCAACAGCAAGAAGTAATTCAGAAAAAAAAATGTTATATGCACTACAGCAAGAAAGAAGCCAAGATAAAGCTTTACCAGATGGAAAATAATTACCTATAATAGTCTCCACGTATTCAGAGTTGTCATTGACATTGAAGAGGTCACCAGCTCCAAGTGCATAATTCAGAGATTCCTCAAAAGCCCCAAGGTGATAAAATACTTTAGATGCCACTAAGGCTGCAAACTGCCGACTCCGGAAACCTTCATCTTCATACAAAACTTCTCTGAAAGAAATTAGGAAGTATAAGCCTAGCTCAAACTGGTTTTCCTTAAAAATCCCAAATCTAAGTATGTTTAGTAGCAGCAAATTCCTAATTGAATTAAAAGCCACATGACCCACATCCACAGAGAATTAGTTGATCTACTTTAATACAATTATACAAATAAAATAATTTCTTACATTTTATCTACAGACTCAGAAATTTCTGCCCAGAAGTCATTGACAACTGCATTCAACTTATGTAGTGCAAATTCCTGTAGAAGATAAAAATAAAATTTGATTTTGACTTACCATTACAAATTTTACAAAAAAAAAAAGTTTCTGACAAATCAACGGCCAAATTCTCAATCATATTTACTAAAATTTTTAATCTATGACAAATACAAAAATTTACTGACTTATGTTTTCTCTTGGGTGTACAGATTTCCTTTCTGTTTTTAATCATAAAACATCAGACTAGCCATAGTTCATTCCTTATCATAATGAGCATCTTCTCTGTATATACACAATTAATTACTGGATATAAATGAATTCAGGTGTGTAGAGCCACTTTAGGTATGTTCCAAACTTTAGTCAAATACAAGTAATTTAAAAATATGTGACAGAGAAGAAACAATTTTTTGTGCTTTCCTTTGATAAAGAAACAAGGGTGGGCGGGGAGTGTTCTGGTGCCATACTGAGAATTATTTACCTTAGCTTTGTTAAGCTATAGGGAAAACCAACTGCTATTGCCAAAATAGTTTCCTGGGGGGGGGGGGGCTATATTTGAATGGGTACAGACTTGGTAAGATGGCTATTTTAAATGATGGAAAATACACAAATATGACTAAATTCAGAGTTTCACAGCATGCATATTAACCCCAGTTAATTTTTCTTCAACTCATACCTTAAGCTGTGGTTCTTCCTCATCCAGAAGAGAAATAATTCCAGCTATAAGACAAAAGGCATATCATGATTATGAACCATAATCTTCTGCTAAGAGAGAAGATACTGCTTAGTCAAAATATATCACAATTGGAAAAAATAAGTATTTTTTTGAGGAGTGACTTCACTAGAATGATTATTCTTTAAAATTGTAAATGTTTACATTTCAAAGTTTAAGAGTTGTGTTATCAAACCTTCATGCCACCACAAAATCACATTATTTGCCAAATTCAGTGGTTTTCAAAGTGCAGTCCTTGGACCCGTAGAATTAGCATTACCTGGGAACTTGTTAAAAATGCAAATTCTTGGCCCCATCCTAGAGCTACTGCATTAGAAATTGTGGGGATGGGGTCCAGTTATGGGGCCACAAGTTTTCCTTGTGATACTGATACTATAGTTTGAGAATCTTTGGCCTAGTTTACTGATCAAAATGGGAAATTTTCCCAATTTTAGAAAAAATTTATTCACACAAAATAAGCCAAAAGTTATAAAATTACTTACAAAAAAAGGTGTAGTCATCAACTCAACAGAGTAAAATATATCAATTATTTCAAGATGCCTATATTAAGGGGCGCCTGGGTGGCTCAGTCGTTGAGCGTCTGCCTTTTTGGCTCAGGTCATGATCCCGGCGTCCTGGGATCGAGCCCCGCATCGGGCTCCCTGCTCCACAGGAAGCCTGCTTCTCCCTCTCCCCCTGCTTGTGTTCCCTCTCTCGCTGTGCTTCTCTGTCAAATAAATAAAATCTTAAAAAAAAAAAAATGCCTATATTAAGGGACCTCCTTTATATCACAAGTAACCTAGAAGGTATGTTAAATGAGAGCAATCTTAACTTGTTCTGACTTCCACCTACCCAAGCACAGTGTTTCCCACATGACTGTGAGGTGTTAGCACACACTGGAAAGTGAAGGAAACTATCCTCTCCAAAAGAATACACCTTGGAATATAGTCATATACCAAAGGGATTTTTAGAAAAAATACATGGGAAATCACTGTCCTTAGACCACAAAGAAACAAAACAAACAAAAAAAGAAAACTAAACTGTCTCTCATATATATGTTTTCCATATAGATCTTAAAAGTCATTCTGGAACACTGAATTCAAACTGTGAGCTGAGGGGTGCCTGCGTGGCTCAGTCTGTTAAGCGTCAGCCTTCAGCTCAGGTGATGATCCCAAGGTCCTGGGATCAAGTCCCGCACTGGGCTCCTTGCTTGGCGGAAGCCTGCTTCTCCCTCTCCCTCTGCCCACCGCTTCCCCTGCTTGAGCTCTCTCTCTGTGTCAAATAAATAAATAAAATCTTTTAAAAAAAAGAAAAAAGAAACAAGAAACTGTGAGTTGATTAAAAAGTGTCAAGACAACTTTACTTGGGAGATGTAGCCATTTTTAATTGGTAAGTGCAGGTTTGCCAAGTAGCTCCAGCAGTCTTTAGAAAGAGCCATACAGGAAGGGTTACAACATTTAGCCAACTAAACTACACCATGGTGTTGGCTAGGAGATACTACTATTCTAAAAGCATAAAAGCAGACAGAAAGAACTTCTTGGTACTCTAGTTTGGTATGACAAGTCCAGAACAGAGAGGCTAAACTGACAGAATGCAGAGAAGACAGATTAAAAAATGTAATAGGGTGGGGGGGCGCCTGGGTGGCTCAGCCGGTTAAGCGACTGCCTTCGCCTCAGGTCATGATCCCAGGGTCCTGGGATCGAGCCCTACATCGGGCTCCTTGCTCAGCGGGGGGCCTGCTTCTCCCTCTCCCTCTGCCTGCCTCTCTGCCTACTTGGTCTCTCTCTCCCTCTGTCAAATAAATAAATAAAATCTTAAAAAAAAAATGTAATGGGGGTTGGTGAACTAGTGATAGGGAATAGCTGATAGACAAGAATGCTTTAAATGTGGAACAGATCATAAACAGCAGAACACTTCATCAACATTAACTAAAAATGCTACCCATTGCCTATCATCAATCAATGGTGTATCTGAACTGCTTTTACCAAAGGAGGTGATGAATTTTTTACACTCCCCTGTTTGGTATTACTTATGATTAATTTGTTACCTGGTTGTCCTGGCTTAGAAATGCAGCCTTTGTTCATGGAACACAACTAAATCAAATACTCTACACTCCATACACAATTATTTCCCAACTTAAAAACAAAATAGAACTTTCCTTTGGATGGGGGGAGAGGGAAGTATATAAGGAATGTGAAAAGTTTAGGATGCTAGAAAAATCTCTTCTGCCATAATAAAAAGTAAGTGGACATTATCTAAACTTGTTCAATCAGTTTATAGTAATATTTGGATGTTATTTATAAATACAAAGTATGTGCCAGAAGAAACAGCTTAAAAGTTGAAAATGGCCGTCTCCAGGGATGAGGAAGAGGAAAGAGGAGTGGGGGGTTACTATTTTAAAGCTTTTTAGCATAATTTCACTTTATTTGCCTATATTACGTTAAAAAAAAACCAACACAAAAACACAAAACCCCACTCAATCTCACATCTCTCTCCTGCAACAACCTATCTCTATCTCTCCACTCCCTTTTGCTGACAAGTCTTTTGAAAAACTTAACAGTGTGTGTTCATACGTGTTCACCTCTTATTCACCACTGTGTTCTTAGTGCCTAGCAAGTGACTAAAGAATAAATGAATGAATTAACTGATGAATCCACACCAAAACTGTGAAGCTAGCCTGTTTAGCACCTGGGACAGATCCTAAGCCATTGTGAGCCACAGAACAGGAAACAAGGTGACAAAAGGTTCTGAGCAAAGGCTGGTAAGTAATCCAGTAAGTGTAACAAATATATTAAATCACCACAGAGTCTCAGAATAGGACCTCAAAGATCATTACTCTTGCCATTCGCAAATAGGTTTAAATTCTTATTATATTCCCACTAAGTGCTTTTTCAGCCTCTCCTTAAAATACTCTAGGGATTAAATTATTGATTTCATTAGTTGATTCCCTTGTTTTTTTTTTTTTTAAGATTTTATTTATTTATTTAATTGACAGGGAGAGAGAGAGAGAGACAGCGTGAGAGGGAACACAAGCAGGGGGAGTGGGAGAAGAAGAAGCAGGCTTTCGGCCGAGCAGGGAGCCCGATGGGGGCTCGATCCCAGGACCCTGGGATCGTGACCTGAGCTGAAGGCAGTCGCTCAACCAACTGAGCCACCCAGGCGCCCCTGATTCCCTCGTTCTAAATATACTTCTGAACTTCTGCTATCTGCTTGACAGTGCTCTAAGAATTACGAAACCAACAAGTCTGCCACCCAAAATTGTACCAGAAAGACAGTAATCAGCTAAGTAAACAAAGTAATCACAGGACTGTGATGAAGGAAGGGGACAGCTAAGGGGAAGAGAGGCAGCATTATTTTAAAAGAATGATCAGGAAAGACTAACATTGGAACTGAGACTAAAGATTGAGAAGCTAAGGGAAAACTCGAGGAAAAAGAGTCTAGAAAGAGGGAACAAGATGTGCAAGGGTCCTGAGGTTAGAAGAGAAACTGACATATTCAAGGAACAGAAAGAAGGCCAGTATGAATAGGATGTAGTGAGTGAGGAAGAAAGTAGTATAAGACAAAGCAGGAATCCAATTATGTAAGTCTTTGGTTAAAAGTCTGGATTTTATTCTAAACACAATGGAAATCCCTAGAGATTTTAAGCAAAAAAAAAAAAAAATGACATTAAAGTTTGAAAAAAATTAGACTCTGACTACAAGAAAAATGGACTGTATGAAGATAACACTGGAAAAAACAAAATCTTAAGGCTGTTACAGAAACCCAGGTAAAAGATAAAGGTGGTCTGGGCTAATAAGAAGCTGCGGCAATGGACGGATGTGAAACAGAATGAGGCCTACATTTACAAGTGGCAAGAAACTTCATGCTTATTTTACCTTTAAAGAGCTGTGACTGGAAAAAACTCTTTCCTATTTGAACTAAAATTCATCTCATTTGTATCCCGTGGGGACAAAAGTCTAATTCCAGGTACAGGTGACAGCTCTTGAAGTCTCTGAAAATAGCTTTTGTGTCTCTAGGGTCTCCATCAATTCCTTGCAGCAATCCTCACAAACGTATGCGTTTGAGCTCCTTACAAGTTAGTTTGAGCACCAGTCTGTTTACAACAAAATACTTGTGGGACAAACGTAGATAAAACAGGACGAGAAAAGGGTGTGTGAGCCGGCAAGCAAAAAACACCAAGGCTGTGCACAGCTATATGCAAATCAGTCTGTAGCGGGGGATGGCGGGGGGGGGGGAGGCTTAAAAAATCTCCACTGGATCTTTACAGCTTATCCCATTTCAAATGTCATTACCCGAATCTACATATGCAATGGTTAGGTGTATGAAACCTGCTCCGCACACCCATGAATTCTTTCTTCAATGCAGAGTATGTACGGAGCACCTAGCCTCCCAACCATAGATAGATGATCAGTATAATGCAGTCTCCGGGTGCTGTCTTCACCGAACACAAACGTTCTCTGGGCGCTTGCACTGAATACTCTTGGAATAGCCCCAGAAACAACCCGCCTCAAATGTAATTTCAGGTTTGACTCCAAGGAGAACGGAGCTGGAGCCAGATCCAGAGCACTTCTGTTGTAGTTAGGCTGCCTTACCGGCCGACCGCACAGGGAGGCCGTCCCATCCTAACCACCTGCGAGGAAGCGCTGGGATCACACGGCCCCACAGGGCCAACTTCGGGAGGGACAGAACCGAGGAAGCCCCCCTCCCCGGGGTCGGAGAAGGGCCCAAGAAGCCCCTCGGGTCCGGGCAAGGGGTGTGACTGGGGAGGGATGCCCAGGCGGACGACCCGGCGCGATTCCCCCGAGCCCGAGGTCTTCGTCGGGCCCTCACAGAGGCCGGACCAGACTGCCAGCCCCCGGGCCGGGGGTGGGCCGTGGGCAGCGAGGGGCCGCGCAGGCCGGCGCTCCGCCGGGAGGTGCCCAGTCACCGGCCCTGACTCAGCTAAAAGCCGGCGTGGCGGCTCCTCCCTTTCGGCGCCGGCAGCGATCGCACTCACCAGCTGAAGTGATCATGGCTGCGTCCCGCACGCGCCCGCCCGCTCGCTCGCCGTCCCGGCCGCGCCGTGTATCTGTCACCTCCGGGCCCGTCCGCTCCGCCGCGCCTCCTCTCTCCCCCGGTGCGGTGCTCAGTCAGTAGCCTCCTCAGGCCGCCGGCTCGCTCCTCTTCCAGGACCCCGCCCGCCCCGGGGCTGCCCGCCGCTCCGCCTGCCGCTCGGCGTGAATTCGCCCCACGGCCTGCGGTTTTCTGCGCCGCCACCGCCACCCTGGCCCCCGCGAAAGGGTGCACGGTCCATGTTTTCTCTGACCCTCTTCGAGGTTCAGCGCTCCCGCTGAGGCGCGGACACTACTGGGCACCTGCGATCAGGCTTCATAATAGCCACCCCCAGAGGGAGGCCCCCATTATCACCCGCCATTGCTCAGAGAAAGGGTGTTGCGGGCAGGTGCTCGTGGTGCTCGCAGCGCCACCTGCTGCTTCGGCGGTCTCTCTGTACCATTCCCCGCGCGCTCGCCAGCCAAACCTTCGGGGGTAGGAGTAAGGCAAAGAGCGTTTTCTTAGAAAAGTAAGTTCAAAGTTTTTAAAAAACAGAACCCATCTCAAAAGAAATCCTCACAGAAATGTTTTATTGTCATAATGAATCCCTAAGTAATCACTGGTTTATAATAAAATTGAACAATGAGAATTTTTGTTTTACATTTGGAATAGTTCATACCGTATGGTGTTTAAAAGAAGTGTAAAAAGATATACAGTGAGGGGCGCCTGGGTGGCTCAATCGGTTAAGCATCTGCGGCTCAGGTCATGATCCCAGAGTCCTGGGATCAGCCCCACCGCTCCCTGCTCAGCGGGGAGTCGGCTTCTCCCTCTCCCTCTGCTTCTCTCTGGCACTTGTGGTATGTATGTATGTATGTATGTATGTATGTATGTATAAATAAATAAATAAATAAACAAATAAATAAAATCTTCTAAAAAATGATATACAGTGAAAGTGTTCCATAGGAAAAAAGAGCTTCCAATTCTTGCCTTCCACTGGTCTAGTTCTTCTTTCCCCCCACAGCAACAGGTTCTTGGTTTTCCTTTTTTTTTTCTCCTAAAGATTTTATTTATTTATTTGAGAGAGAGACAGCACTAGAGAGAGTGAGCACGAGTGGGAGGGAAGGACAGAGGGAGAGGGAGAAGCAGGCTCCCCACTCAGTGGGGAGCTCTATATAGGGCTTGATCCCAGGACCCCAGAATTGTGACCTGAGCTGAAGGCAGATGCCCAACCGACTGAGCCACCCAGGCACCCCTCTTGGTTTTTGATACGTCTAATTTGAAATGGCAGTTGTGATGGCCATTTGCAGTGGTACACCAGCTTCAATAGCCTGTTTACTTCAATAGACAATACTGAGAAAGACTTGAAGATTAGAGACAGATGGTGGCATTTTTAAGCCACTAGCCTTTGCACCATCAAGCTATTCATCGATTGGATAGCAATTACTAAAGATTATTTCTGAAAAATAAAGATTATTTCTGAGGCCTTATCAAAACAGTGCAACCTACTGGCGCAAGCAATATTTTGTGGTTGAATTAAAATTTGGTTGATAACACATTGGAGTGAATGTGTGAATTTTTTAAATTGTATTCTAAAGCTAAGGTTGTTAAAATATATCAAATATAATTATTAAACACTTCTGAAGAACCTATAGCTCAGACTGAAAGGCACTGCCCTGGGAGGTGTGCAAAAAAAAATAAACAGATATGTGGGAGTATCATTTCATAGAGACACTTTGTCCAATCCCTCATATGAAGACACCTGTATGCCCGAAACTTCTAGAGAATTCGCACATGATAACAGGTGATGGAAATGAGTGGAGCAGGCAGAGTGTAAGGAAATACTAGATCAGCAGGATGGTGAGTGGCGACTAAGTGTCAGGGAGGCAGGAGGGGATGGTGGTGACAGTGCCAAAATGAAGAATGAGGGCCCCACTGAAAGAGCAGTGGCTACTTCTTCTCTTGCCGTGTTGCTGGGCAAAACTGTAGGACTACTGGGGCGCCTGGGTGGCTCAGTCAGTTAAGCATCTGACTCTTGATTTTGGCTCAGGTCATGATGTCAGGATTGTGAGATAGAGCCCTGCATCAGGTTGCTTGAGATTCTCCCTCTCCCTTCGCCCCTCTCCCACCAGCTGGCTCTAAAAAAAAAAAAAAAAAAAAATAGTAGGACTACTGTTGTGAAAGCTTATGATTTTTTCCAAGAAAAGTCAGAAGTCAGAATTTCATGTGGAATCTTCTGAATTTTAAATGGTGGTAACTTGGGTGAAATGGGTAAAGGTGGTCAAAAGGTATAAACTTCCAGTTAGAAGATAAATAGGTCTGTTCATCTGAAGCTAATGTATAATTGTGTGTTATAACTATACTCCAATTAAAAAAAAAAGTCCTGGGGATATAATGTACAGCATGGTGACTACAGTTAATATCATATTTATATATAAAAGTTGCTAAGAGAGAAAGTCTTAAAAGTTCTTTTTTTTTTTTTAAAGATTTTATTTATTTATCTGACAGAGAGATAGGGAGAGCAGGAACACAAGCAGGGGGAGTGGGAGAGGGAAAAGCAGGCTTCCTGCGGACCAGGGAGCTCGATGCGGGGCTCGATCCCAGGGCCCTGGGATCATGACCTGAGACAAAGGCAGACGCTTAATGATTGAGCCACCCAGGCACCCCTTAAAATTTCTTTTTTTTTAAAGATTTTAGAATTTATTTTAGAGAGAGAGCACATGAGCACATGAAAAGGTGGGGGAGGGGCAGAGGGAGAGGGAGAGAGAATCTCAAGCAGACTCCCCACTGAGTGCAGAGCTGACCCTCCTTGGGGCTCAATCCCATGATCCCAAGATCATGAACTGAGCTGAAATCAAGAGTCTGCTGCTTAGGGATGCCTGGGCGGCTCAGCTGTTAAGCGTCTGCCTTCGGCTTAGGTCATGATCCCAGGATCCTGGGATCGAGCCCTGCATCGGGCTCCCTGCTCAGTGGGAAGCCTGCTTCTCCCTCTCCCGCTCCCCCTGCTTGTGTTCCCTCTCTCGCTGCGTCTCTCTCTGTCAAATAAATAAAATCTTAAAAAAAAGTCTGCTGCTTAACCAACTGAGCCACCCAGGTGCCCCAAGTCTTAAAAGTTCTAATCACAAGAAAAAAAATTGTAGTGATTCAGTCAGTGATGGATGTTAACTAAACTTATTGTGGTAATCATTTTCCAATATATACATATACCAAGTCACTGTGTTGTACACCTAAAACCAACACAATGTATGTATCAATTATATCTCAATAAAAAAATGAATATTGGGTGATCGAGCCCTGTGTCAGGCTCTGCACTGGGCGTGGAGCCTGCTTAAGATTCTCTCTCTTTGGGGCGCCTGGGTGGCTCAGTTGGTTAAGTGACTGCCTTCGGCTCAGGTCATGATCCTGGAGTCCCAGAATCGAGTCCCGCATTAGGCTCCCTGCTCAGTGGAGTCTGCTTCTCCCTCTGACCCTCCCCCCTCTCATGCTCCTTCTCTCTCTCAAATAAATAAATAAAATCTTAAAAAAAAAAAAAGATTCTCTCTCTTCCTCTCCCCCTGCCCCTCCCCCTGCTTCACGCACTCTCAATCTCTCTCTAAAATAAATAAATAAATAAATAAATAAATAAATAAATAAGTGTTGGCAATTAATTCAAAATGTTTTAAAACAAGAGAAGGCCAGTTGCCACGTCTGCTCTTCAAAGAGAAGACAATCTCTATGGGAGGACGATCATGTCTCTGGTTTGGATACTGTGCTTTTAACTTCCACAAAGCCCCATGGGAACGCTATGGGGGGCCCCTCTCTTCTTGTGGATTCTGCTCTTCCACCTGGATGGCTGTTCCAGGCCTGAGGCTTCTTCCTCTTCATTTAATCGTGTACTCTTTAGTCACAGCGATCTTTTCAAAACTCAACTCTGACCACTGCCTCCCTCATCCTGAGCTCTATTCTTATGCTTCGTTCTTCTGAGTTTCTGTCCAAAGCCTTTGTCTCGCTCCCCATTCTCCCTGTGAGAGATCAATGCCTCCATTGCTATGGACAAAATGGTGGCTCCTAAAATGTATCCTGTAGCCCCACCCTCTCTCTGGAGCACAAGACTCACACAGTTACCATACATCTCTGTTTGATACTCCTTAACTCAACAACCTCAAAGCTCCATGCATGTCTTCTGCCTTGATCTGGGTGTGGTGAAGGGCACCCACTGCTAGTGAAGCAGGGCCCCGGGGCGGGGGTGGGGGGGTGGGGACACACTTGACTGTTCCCTCCCGCTCACCTGGTCTGGACAGCTCTGGTCTACCTAATGTCTCCCCCAGCAGCCCAGCTCCCATTCCCCGGCAGTCTCAGCTCCCCCTCTTCCTTCCTGGCTGCAAGAGCTTCCAACAGCTTTGACTTCCTGCTCACCATCTCAGGATTCTCCAGTCCGTCCTTCACAGCCAGCCAGAAGCACAATCAAAAACAAGGAAAATGGGCGCCTGGGTGGCTCAGTTGGTTAAGCGACTGCCTTCGGCTCAGGTCATGATCCTGGAGTCCCTGGATCGAGTCCCGCATCGGGCTCCCTGCTTG